CTGCATGGTGCCACTGTTGTAAAACAGTACTGACATCGGGGTTGGGGGAAGACTGAGAAAAAAGGGATAAATAATGTATACTGCATTGAAACAGATGAGGGAGAAAACTGATTAAAAGGGATATGTGATTAGGTATAATTGTCATGACAGGAGTCCAGAATGAAGGCTGCATCATGGAGGGGACCTGGGGGAGGAATTGTATAATAATGAAAGAATTTTTTTTTTTTTACTTTTCAAGAAGAGCGATTTGGGGGGAGGGTGCAGTGGGCAGGGAAAAAAGTGCAACACTGAGTGAATGGAAATCCTCAGTCTCTATAAACTTTCATTAAAATGACTAATAATAAAATTTAAAAATGATGTCACATTGATAGGTAAATAGTTAGGGTTGTTTATTCAGACCCTCTTTTTGGAGGATAGAAATCTGTAGAAAACCAAGATTTTGCTGTTATTGTTGTGTACCATACATTCAGAGTCGATCCATAGTTGACCCTCCAGAGGGTTTTCATAAGCAGTTAATCCCACGGGAGGAGATTGCCCCACAGAGCACCTGGTAGCCTCGAACAATGTGTCTTCGAGATACAAAGCAGCTTCTTGCCAGTAGGCCACCAGAGCTGAAAAGCCAAGATTTTGCTGTAGTTCACCATTATCTGATTTTGCTCTCTGAGCTTCAATTTCAATGTGTAAAGTCCTTTCTGGTTCTTGTAACTGTACTCACAGACTCTATGTCTCGGATTTTTCTATTACCTAGGGCCGTGGCCAGTCTGAATACTCCTTTAATGCGGATGAATCCCGATGTAACCTTCATGGAGCAAGTCAAAGCCAATCCTGTTTTTGATTACCAGCTCTACTTCCAAGAACCGGTAAGTTTCTGGGCCTATAAGCAAGTATACCTGCAACAGTGTAATTCTCCCTGCCCCCCAATTCTCTCTTCTTTTTTGTTTTACTTATGTCTGCCCTTTATCATTTTTTTGTGCATTAGTCAGAAATGATTTTGCAAACTGGCTCAGGGAAAACTGACTTCAAATTTCAGTTCATCCTTTCCGGGTGATGGCGCATTTCTCTCTTTCTCTCTGTCTCTGTCTCTGTCTGTCTCTCTCTCTCTCTCTCAGTGTGAGAGTGCCCTGGGTTTTCCTGCCTTTCCTATACTGGAAAGACTGGAGAACTGAGGGTTGGTTTGGAACACCTCTTCTTGGTTTCCACAGCCCCACCTCTCTCATTGGTGAGTGCTTCTGTCTCCTCACCAGGAACCTAACATCTCTGGCTACTGTGCAGTGAAGTTTGTGGTTACAGAGAGTAACAAGCCCCACAGGCACCACCCCATCCATGTACCACCAAGTCAAAGGAGCCTTTCACAGAGGCCCCTGGGCCCAGATGATGTGTGCGATGGGGAGCGGCTGACACTTTTCACTGGGATTGCTGCGAGCAGAGTTGGGAACTCTTCACAGCTTCACCTGTCCTGCTGCTCATCTATCTGCAGGCATTGGACTCCAATATCCAGCTACAACTGGGGAATTTATAAGTTGTAAAGCAGGAAAGGTGTTTCCTTTAGTATTACAAAAAGAAGAGACCAGATTAGATGGATTAGTTAATTAATTAATTGTTGTTATGTGCCATTGAGTTGCTTGCAGCTCATGGTGATCTTACGTACAACAGCTCTGAGCTCTGCTCCATCCTGAGCCAACCTCATTGTCTCTGACTCACTACCCCAGTCACTGAGTCAGTCCATCACATTGAGGGTCTTCCTCTCTTGCCCTCCCAAACATGATGTCGCTCTCTAAGGAACGGTCCCTTTTTGCAACATGCCCATACTATGTCAGGCAGAGATTCACAATCCTCGCCTCTAAGGAGCAGCCTGGTTTCACGCACTCTTGGATAGACCTGTTTGTTCTCCTAGTAGTCCATGGTAGTCATTGTCTAGTTTTCTTATTTGTGTGTGCGTGTGTGTGTGTGTGTGTACTGTCAAATCGAATCTGACTGGTACAGGAGGAGATTATCCTACTTATCCGGCAGAGCATCTGGTGGATTTGAACCACATTCTTCTGGGATTGTAATGCAGCTTCTTGCCACTAGGCCATCAGAGCTCCCTCATTGTCTAGTTTTCTGATGCATAGCAAGTAATTGCAAAGACCATGGTCCAGATTAGGTGCACCTTAGTCTCTAGATTTAATAAGATCACGGAGCATCTGTCTACCTCTCTCACCTATCCTTAGCCTTCATCCTTGCCCCGTCCTCCTCTGAGGAGGCACCCTTACCAGCAAGTGTCACAACCATCACAGCTTCAATGAGTGACTCTCCCCCGGCAATTATCTTCATGTATAAGATGATACCTGTACAAAAGGAAGACTTTTTCTCATGCAAGCAATAAACAGCATCAGGAGCCACCAGCAACATTTTGAAAAGCTCAACATCTCTAGTCCCAAGTTGAGGCCAGGGCCCTGTCCTGCCACAGCCTGGTTTATGGAAAGCTTTATGCTTCCCTCACTTAATCAAATCAAAATGTCTCTAATTAGTTTGAGATCCTCTTGAGGTTGAGGGATGGCAGAGATTAGATGGATAAAGACAAAAGATTAGTTGCTCCTGGTAGGAGGTAGAGAGGGTAGTGAGGAGGAGGGGACTATAAGAAGTGGTACCTAGACAGGTGAAATGTAGTTAGAGCCCTTATGCAAAGCCTTGAAGTTGAGTTCAAGTTTGTACTCACTGTTAGAAGTGAGTGGAAATCATTCTGTGTTCATCACTAGTCATGAATGACTCTGTAAAAATTATTTCAGTTGGAAGGGGAGTGATTTATGGTTGTCACCATTTCCTGGGGTGGTTGACCATCACTCGCATATCTCTATTGAAGTATCTGGCAGTGGGGAGAACAACAAAGTGCTGTGGTAGCCCCTTGGAGGACAGTGATGGTTTAGTGGTAGTTTTCCCTTTCCATACAGAAAAGCAAGGTTCAGCTCTAGAGAGAGTGTGCATCTGTCAATGGAGGATAGTGTTGCTGTTGTGCTTGCCGTGACAGAGCCACTGGACTAGGAAGAAAAGCCTGCTGACTTCCACAAACCAGCCTATGATTTCCCTATGAATCACCACGGTCTGGTCTGAAGACTCTGTGGATCACAGTCATGGGAACCCAGCAGGATTGGTTGTTGCTGTTTTGTTTTTTTTTTTTTTTAAAATTTCCACTATGTATGGCATCAGCAGCTAATTGGATGGCAACTTACACTGGTCCTTATGTGGCCACTTCTGTGGCTTTTGAAAACTACAGAGTGAACAGCGAACCCTAAGCAAAATTGTGAGGCTGGTTTTGGGACTCTCTCTGGCCCTTTCTTGTCATCAGTCTTGAGCCATGCAGTGTCACCCCCTCCCATGGCCCCTGAGTTGCCTGGACCTCCCCTCCTTCTTGTCCTCAGAGGACCCTGCCCCTCCAGCTCCTTCTATCACCTAGGATGCCCTTTGTTCCAGTCTCCATCTTTCCACCTTCTCCTGATCTAGATCCCCTTTCTGTGAGTAGAGATTGTACTGCACCCTGTGGAGATGGCAGAGGGAGGGCATGGAGTTTAATGCCCCCTTTCCCCTCGTCATCTTCTTTTTCCTGCTTCTTCTCCTTCTTTTTAATTTAACATTCATGAGAAAACCTGATATACTGCAAACAGAGATGTTCTATAACTAGGAGTTGACCATTATGTCTAAATATTAGGAATCTTTTGACTAGTGTGCCATGTGAAGAATTAATATTCATTTTATTATTTTGTGTGTGTGTACTGTCAAATCAGATCTGACTGGTATAGAGGAGATTGTACCTCCTTTTCCAGCAGGGCATCTGGTGGATTCAAACTGAGTGGCTCTGGGATTGCAGTGCAGTTTCTTACCACTAGGCCACCAGAGCTCTCCAAGAATCCATATTCATTAATTCACTTAGCAAAGACCCTTCTCCCAGGAGCGGCACATGAGTTCAAACTGCCAACCTTTTGGTCAGCAACTGATCATGGAACCACTGCATCACCAGAACTTGAAATCTTGTCATACCAGAAATTGAAATCAAGAAATATTTATTCATTCATTTAAAAATAACAGTTTTGTGTGAGTCAGCTCCAACCCAACAGCAGTGAGCTGAAGGAGTATATTTGCCTTAGTGTAGTAGTGAAAAGCGTGTCGTTGTGTCACATCTCTTTCAGGTCTGGTTTCCTAGGAGACAGCTGGTCTCTCATAGCTGCTTCTGCACTCTGGAGGCTATAATATTAATTAATATTAAGTAGCTTCTGAAAAACGCTGTATACACAGGAGACAAAAACATTATGGTTCAAAAAAGAAGAAAGGAGTGGGTTTGCCATGGATCCCCTAGAAGGGCCTCAGGAATCCCCTGCATTCTCCGGAAAGAACAACTGCACTTATATGAGTGCCTGCTGTTGGCAGAAAGGCTGGAAACTTCAAAGTACTCACAGATGCCCTGCAAGGACGATCTAGTGAACTGCTCCCAAAACATTAACCCCGGAATGGAACAGTGTGGTGGAGCGCCATGAATTGGAGTCGACTCCACTGGCAACTGATTTGTGACAAATGATTTCCAATCCTCACAAGAACACGGTTTGAGTTCTCTCCTCTTTTTTTTAGTAGAGCAAACAGAGACTCAGAGACGTTAAGAACTGGTTCAAGGTCTGGTTGTATGTCTGGGTCAGGATACTGATCAAAGTTTATTTGATTCCAAAGCACAAATGCCCCACAGCCAAGGAGGTTGGACTTTATCCTGTATGCTGTAGGGATCCTCAAAGAGAGAGCAAAGCAAGGTAAACTCCAAGTCCTGATTTTCAAGGTGACCCTACAGAAAGAGGCTTTCCTAATTGCAGACCTAGTAAGGACAGAGGATTTTTTTTTCCAAAGGTTATTTTAAACTTATTGTGAAGAACCCTGTTTCTATTCTTTTGTTGTGGCAGCTGGTTTTAAAATCATTTGCTGCAAGAGATCTGAGGACGATTTTGTTCTAAAGAACAAAGCCGCTTGACAAGGCATGTTAGATATCCAAATTAATGACCTGTCCACAGAGAGGCACCCAGCATTTGAGGTGAATCCGGCAGCTGTGGCTGGTGATACAGGGTATGGAGAAGCCTCTTAGAAATCTTCCAGGAGAGCTTCCCCCAGCTATCTCAGGCAGCCTCGGTAAGGAGAGCTGTGGGCATCATCACTTCCCTTCTCTGGCCCTCAATCTCCTTATCAGTAAAACTGCTGTTGTTGTTGTTGTGTATCATAGAGTTGGAATGGCTCATAGCTGACCCTCCAGCTGGGCTTTCAGAGGCAGTAAACTGCATGGGAAGGGATTGCCCATCTTTCTCCCAAAGAGCAGCTCATGGATTTGAACCAGGCCTTTTGGGTTGACAGCATAACTTACCATTAAGCCACCAGATGGGTTTATTGGATAGTTTTCAAACAGGTAGCATCCTCACACTTATCTCCTTGTTTTTCATCTAGCCATATCTTTAAGCAAAAGTAGGTTTTGGTGATTGAAATCTGCTCAGAAAGAAATCAGAGCATGTAAGCAGTTCTCTGGTTCAGGGCTAGGAACTTTCCTCTTGTCTCCCTTTCCCCAGAACTACCCTTCCTGCTCTCTAGGTAGGAGGAGTCCTTCATGGGTTTTGCCACTTCTGAGCTCATGAGAAGGGGCCCTGGTGGTGCAGTGGTTAAGGATTTTCCTGCTGAACCAAAGGGTGGTGGTTTGGAAGCGCCGGCTGGTCTGCGGGAGGAAGATGAGGCAGTTGGCCTCCATGAAGATTCCCGGCCTCGGGAGCCCTGTGAGGCTCTTCTCTGTCCTGCAGGATCCCTGTGAGCAGGAACTCTGGCAAGAGCAAAGAATCTCCCTGTGTTCTCAGGACCATTCCAA